TTTTGAGAACATCGCCTGAACTTTCTAAAGAGCTATCATTAGATTTGATAATGCCTGTCAGTCTACCTTCATTCTGTTGGTTTTGAGTATTGCTACCTATAAGTTTGGGAGGTCTGGGATTTGGCGACGTGGCTGGCTCGGCACCCTAGCTTTTTTGTCTTCGGCTGCGGCCACAGCGTCTTTTTTTCAATATTCAATTTTTCTTACTGATGATGCTTATGAAGTGTACTAAGCAGCAGATGTGCAATGAATGGGTTTAAATTAACTTTCTGCGCGTGACCCATTAACAGAGCATAGCGGAACTTGACAATGATTAAAACCCACGGCTAGTTAATCAACGAATGGTCATATACATAATTGCGTATAGACATATACACATCCCTACATATCGACATACATACATTATATAAATACACACATACACGCACGCATACATAAATACATAGATATAACATAATCACGATGCACCAAAGTCAAAACTTTTTTGATGAAGTCTACAGAATTTGAAACAATAATAATTTTTTTTATTAATACTTTCAATGTTTCTAAATAAAATGTTATTTAGATTATTTAAATTTTTGAACAACGCACTATAATAACAGACATGTTTTTTTTAAATTAAAAAAATAAAATTTTAAACACCTTTAAAATACTAATGAAAAAATAACGCCAAAACTTTTACAAACTTAAAAAATATACATTTATATACACACATACATGACGCACTTGCAAATAATTAAATTAATTTTGATTATAACACGCACAACCATTCAACGCCGGGCTGATCATAATAAAAAGAGAAAAACGTTAAGTGAAGTGACAATAAAAAAAAGAAAATGATTCAATATTAAGTTCCATGTTTTGCTGCTGAGGCCTTCAAACAATGGCACATCTTCAGGACTGAAGAATGTCTTCCTCTGGTAGTTTCCCGTGAATGCTTGACTAAAAAATAGATAGATAAATAAATACACACACACACACACACACACACGTGCGCGCGCGCACACACACACACACACACACATATATATATATATATATATATATATATATATATATATATATATATATATATATATATACGTATTTAATAAAATCTACCAAATTTTTAGCTTTTGAAAGTTTACGGTTGAACTTTTCAATATTTCTAACAGTAATTTTATAGCTATTATCCAATTTATTGAAAGTAATAAGAAAATCATTGGCGTTCATGATTGTTTCTTTCACAAAGAACGGTCTATGTGAAAAAAACAAACAAAGGGATATATCTAAATAGAATAAGTGAGTGCACATAAAAATATAAACGCATTTTTAAATAGAGGATTCACATACTTCAATAAGCGACAGCGAGGCAGAACTAGCTAGAATCACCTAAGATCTAGTCAACAACAACTACAAAACAGCTGCCATCTAAGATACCATACAACATAACCAAACAAGGCGAGAATATAATTTTCTACTACAGAAACTACATGTCACCTGCATTTAAAACAGATGAATCTGTTCTAAAGAAAACTATAATTAAAAACATGAAGCCTAGAAATGCAGACGATTAAGTGTAAATCTGAGGATTCATTATCAAAATGCAAAAACGGCAAACCTGATAATAAAGACTAATTGTACACCTCCCCAAAATTCAACCCTGGAATGAAATCACCGAATATATGATTTTAAATGTTCTCTTGACGGATGCACTCGTAAGAAACACTCAATATAACTCATCTGGAAACCATACATCAAATGATCCCATCAAGAGAGATATTAGTAAACTATACTAGTATAAAATACGGTAACAAGAATCACAGTCATCTACGAATTGCTGAAGAGATCTTCCTTGACCACTGTCGTGGGTATGACATAAAACTGCATCCACGCTGCTTTGCGTGCTTTTGAGAAAAAAGGCTAGGCCCACCGCTTATAACTGGTGGTTGTTGTCAGGATGGGTGTCCGGATGTAAAAAATTTCCCCTAAATTATTCTATGCCATAACAAAAAAAACAACTCCTAGTCCCCAGCAGGCCTTAAGTGGTCAAGGGGTGCTAAGAATCCATGGGAAGTATGCAATAGCTGAGGGATGTTGCAGAAAAATTCAGAATGGCCCCTCTACAGTATCACTGACTTGCCGCAGCATGGAAATCGCAGAAATGCTCGAGCGTAGAAGGATTGACATCTGCTGCCTTCAGGAGACCCGATGGAAATCGAATGGTGTCTGTCATATCAACTCAGACAAAGAAAAATATAAACTATTCTGGAATGGTCAAAAGACGGCCAAAAATAGTGTTGGAATTTTTGTCAAAGAACCGCTAGCCCAAGAAGTACTGGATATTAAAAGGATTAACTCACGTCTCATGTGGATCAAGATTCGCCTAGAAAAGCAAACAATGACTATTTTTTTTGCATACGCACCACAGACGGGCGAATTAGAAGAGATAAAAAATGACTTTTGGGCTGCGTTCTCTGACACCATCTCAACAATACCAAAATCTGAAACAATCTTGATTGGAGGCGATCTCAATGGCCACGTTGGAGAGAAAACAGATGGTTTTGACAATGTGCATGGCGGTTTTGGCTATGGAAAACGGAATGAAGATGGCAACCGCATCTTTGAGTTTGCTGAAAGTCACGGGTTAGGTTTATTAAACACATATTTTAAAAAGAGGTTGGAACATCTCATAACATACAAAAGTGGACCATCAGCTACGCAAATTGATTTCTTCGCTGTCAAGCAACAATACCGAAGGCTATTAAAAAATGTCAAAGTTATACCTGGCGAATCATGTGTCGCCCAACATAGCCTCCTTGTGGCAGACCTGGTTGTCGAACTGTCAAAACATAAGTCTAAACAAATGCCTCGGAGAATCAAAACGTGGAGGCTGAAAAGCAAAATTCATCAAGAAAAATTTCAACAGATTGTCCCCACACAGTTAGACCACCAATCGCAATCCAGTATATATTGGAGTACAAACAAAACCGTTTTGATAAACGCTGCAACTACAGTTTGTGGGAAAAATGGTACAAACGTCAGCATGAACAGGACACTTGGTGGTGGATTGACAGTGTACAAAATGCAATAGCTGAAAAGATAGCTGCATTCGAGCACTGGCAAAAGTCAATGTCTGTTGAATTCCAGAAGTTCGCTGAGTTAGCTGAGTTGTATAGCTCTAGGCGCAGCGGTAGAAGAATGCTACGCCACACTAGTATCGAGGCAAAAAGATCCCATCTGCCGCACGTATGCGTTCACGAACGGCGGCATCAGCTGTTCCAGTACAATCTAGCATATCTCCCAAATACTGAAATGAAGTAACAGTTTCAATCCGAGTAATCGTATCATTATCTGGACTCCGTTGTCGCGGGTTGATGCCGGCGAGGCATACGCAATCAGTCACTTTCCTTAGTGAGTCGGTAATTCTCGAGCATCGTTTGTGACACAACTGCTGACATCGTAGGCATTTGATCGAGTTGCTTCCAACTCCAGCCCCACACACCAAACATTGCCAGTGACCAGAGACCACAGGCTCAGCGGTACCACTGGTGATTATAGTTTTTGTTTTGTCAAGGTTTACCTTTAGCCCGTGTTCGGCGAGCTGGATATTTCAGACCTCAAACTTTCTGGCTGCATCTTGTTCCAAGGCTGCCGTCAGGACGATATCAGCTGCATATATCACATTCCATATGTTATCTGAGCATATCGGTTCGGTTATTTCTCCCATCACCGTGATGAAGAGCAGGGGGCTGAATATTGATCCCTGATGGACGCCGACTTAATATCAAATTCATTCGTGTTGCCGGCTGTTGTGCTGACCAAAGTTTTGTGTTAGAGTACGTTGCCATAACAAGCCGAGCCAGATATTCGAGAACAAGTTGTTTACGTAGACTACACCTGATTGCCTCACGAGGTGTTAAGTCAAAAGCCTTTTCCAAGTCCACATAGACATGGAACAGTCGCTTTTGCATTGCCATGTATTTTTCCTGTAGTTGACGAATGATCTAGATAGCATCAATGGTGGATCTCCCTGCCATGAAGCCGCACTGGTAACCACCTATTGAAACGCATGACAACCGTCTTCTCTCAATGACTTTTTCAATAACTTTCAGGGGATGTTCCAGAAGACGTATACCCCGATATGAGGAGTATTTCAGTTGATTTTCTTTTCTTCTATATATCGGCACAGTTGTGCTACTGTTCCATTCCACTGGTAGTATCGATTTACTAGATGTGTAAAAGGGCTCTGAAGCCTGCCCCACCAGATGCCATCATGATATCATTAGTAAATCCAGACGGACCAGCCGCTTTATTCACCTTCATTGCCTTCAACGCATCCGTAAGCTCCTCAGCTGTGATGTCCTGAATTGGTCCTTCCACCGGAAATGCATCAAATACCAACCCAATAGGGTTTGTTTCATTCAATAATTGATCGAAGTAATCCTTCCAGTGATCCTTCACTTCATTCTACAAGGTTATTATAGTGTCTTTATTATTCTTTATGCATGTGGCACCAACTATATCCTTTTTCAGTCTTTGGCCAGATTTGCTATTCGGCATTGATTTGCACGAGCTATCGTAACCTGACATTTCGCTTCTGTGTTCTTTGATCGGTATGTCTTTCGATCTTCATCAGTCTTCATCTTTTGCCATTGTTTGAAACTGCTTTCTTACTGGCAATAGCATTTTGCACAGTCTCGTTCCACTACCAAGTTTCGCATATCAGTATTAAAAATGAATGCGATTCCGACACCCATACTTTTCAAAAACACAGCTTGAAGATTCATTTTTAGAATATAAATAACAAATGTAAATCAATTGATACTGAGATGACTGAGCAACAAATTATCCAGTAGAATTTCTAATTCGACGGAGTCTCCAAGGATGCCACCACACCTATTAATATTAAAAAAAGGATCACCAACAATACTCTCACGAAATATAAATTCACCAAAGTTTGTTCGATAGAACTAGACTAACAATAAGAAAACTGACACCAAATTTGATCGAGGCAGTAGTTGAGTGGTAGACTCAAAGAAGAAAATGTTTTACTTCAACGAATACCAATGATTTCTACCGATTTGCCCTTCAACTTCAAACGACCACAATTTCCTTCCCGTCTTGCCTTTGCAATCACTAAGCCCCAGAGCAATCTTTTTATGTTGTTGGTTTACATTTAGAAAAAGAGTGCTTTTCCCGCGGACAATTATATCTTGCTCACGAGTTGGCACACCTAAAAATCTTTATATTTACACACTTAATGAAATGATAAAAGACATTGTATAATCTTTAGCTTTCATTTAAAATTTATTCGTATTTCGATATTCAATTAATTATTAAATTAATTTAAAACACACTTTTTGTCATTTAGCACAATGCGCCTGAACAGCTATTATTTGTAAGGCGTTACGAAGTACGCCGGGTCAGTTAATTAATTAATTAACAATAATAATAATAACAACAACATGGAACAGCGCATATCCTTAAAAAATTTCTCGGATATCTTTTGGACTCAGATGGGCCCTTAAATCATCTGTAAACCGGCTTAGACCGTGTTTAACGAACAAAAAATAATAATAATATATAAACATAAATATATATAAAAAAATCGTTTTAAATCGATCTAAGCAGGATTTATTTAATTGTATAAAAAAGATGTTGCTACCGACCAATATTGCGAGATCGTGTCGTTGAGGCTATTGTATGCATTGTCCAGGAACGTTAAACGTGTAACGGTGCTTATTTCGTTGATAATGTCTTCAGTCAGCACTTTGTTCGTAATTTCATCTGTCACTGTGTAAAACTGTCAGTAATAATATAGAATCTTATGATACATTTGTCACCACAGCATAGGTAAGTTTTATATGCAATGTATAAATACTGCTGGACGCAAGATGTTTACGTTTTTATTGAACAAAAGCTATATATATATATATATATATATATATATATATATATATATATATATTAGGGATGCACCGAAGTTCGATCCCGGCTCCGGCCAAAATCCGGCTTTTTTTCAAATCCGGCCGAATTGGTGCCCGAATTTAGGGCCGGATTTAACCGTCTATCGACATTTAAAAATGTTATAAATAGAAAAAAAAATTTCATTGAATTCAATTAATTTTATGTCATTAAGTTCATTAAGTTAAAAGCTAAGCATACATAACACATAATAACAACAGCTGACCTTTGTGTAAAAGAACTTGTGCACGTGTAAATACTATATAATTGTATATGACGGATCATATAGCTACATACCATACATATATGTGTGTATATATATATATATATATATATATATATATATATATATTTACAACATTCTATAAATTCTACCGAATGTTTGGCGTTAATATGTTTGTAGTTCGTTTTTTCAATTTTTCTCACTAAAGTTTTTTGGTGAACGTTTAGTTTATTAAAATTCAAAATAAACTTATTTTCCGAATTAATGCTGCAAATAAGGCCATATTTCGATTCCGAATGAATCATCATCAGTGCTTTCTGCCGTTTATATAGGGAAATATTGACTTTGTCAAAATGAATTTAGATGGAGATTGACTTTGTCAAAGTGAATTTAGATGGAAATTAGGTGTCAGGTTTCTTTATTGGCTAGTCATCTTCTTTGGTCTCCTTTTCTTCATCGATAGCATCATATTCTTCTTTGTCACTATTCACTGTCCCTAATTAAGTTGTTAATGAAAACAAAGAAGTAATAAAAACTAGCATTGTAAATTGAACTTGGTGGGGTATTGTGTGAAAAGAAATGGTCAGTGAAGATGAAAGGGAGGGTATAAAAAGCATGTGTGAGAGCAGCGATGGTATATGATTGTGAAACTTGGGTGTTGAGGAGAGAGGAGGAAAGTGTACTGCAGAGGGCTGAAAGAGCTATGGTGAGGATGATGTGTGGGATTAAAGTGAAGGATAGGAGTAGTACAGAGCTGATGTCGATGATGGGACTGAATGAGGACATTGTGACATTGATAAGGAGATCGAGATTGCGGTGGTATGGACATGTGTTGAGAAGGGATGATAGGGTCGGGATTAGGCGAGCGTTGGAGTTCGAGGTTGAAGGAGTGGTAGGAAGGGGTCGTCAGCGGTTGAGATGGAGAGAGCAGGTGGAGAAGGACAGGGGGAAAGCGGGGTTGCGTGATACTGAGGCGAGTGACAGATGTGAATGACGTCGAGGGGTATTTCGGTTTCATCATAGGTAAAACCAAACGGCAACCCCCGATCTCGGAGAAAATGTCGTCTAAACGTGTGTTGTTGTTGTTATTTATATAGTATAATAATTTCAAGTGGTATATTTAGTTATCGGGTTATGGGCTGGTTTCGTTTCTGCTCCGAGCTTTTCTTGATTATCTAGAATTTTCATAATTATAACCGACCCCTTGAACTTGTAGGGTATGGTTATTTCTCTCTACGTAGATTTTTGACTCCTGAACAGACTTATTTCAGATGAACTTTATCAGAAAGAAAACAGTGCTGGCAATCACTTGTGTGTATTGCTTCGTTTATTCTCGTTTATTCAATCGTTAAAATCGTTAGAATACAGCACAATAACTAATCAACAGGTAAATCACGGGATAAAACTAATCGTCAATAATTAAGCTTCTCTCGTCAGATGTTTTTTGGCCGTAAATCCTCATTATTCGCTTCTCGGAAGATTATCGTAATTCCCTCTAGACCGCTTGTAGAACTCTGCGTGATAAACTTTTCCTCGGGCGTTATCGCTAATCTGCTTGCAGTACCCACACAAAATATCTCTGCGATAATAGGACTCTTTTTCCTGCTTGAAACTTCTTCTGACCTCTTCTTAATTCTCGTTCTTTTTTTTTCTCCCTGTGTGTTTCCCTCCCGAATCTTGCTTTTGCGTTTTTTATATAGCTACCGATCTGCTTGTAAATGTGTCACATGACGTGTCATATGAATTAACAACCATTCTAATTATTTACGTCTTCTAATTAATTTGCAAGCGGTTCACGCAATTTCTAAATATTAGTTTTTATCTCGATTTCACGTCTGTAACAATATAGTGGTTTAATTAAATTTGGTTGCATCTAATAGAAAAAATTTAGACAAAAAAATTTATATAATTTTTTTATCGAAATATATTATTTGTTAATTTTATTCCAATTTATGTTATTTACTTTAATTTAGTGGAAAACCTGATTTAAATAAGCATAGTAATAAAGTTGAAGTTATAGGTACAAATAGGATAGTTTACTACAAGTTGTATTTGTTTATTCATGCTGTGTTATTTCTGCATTGATTTCTTACAAACTGTATAGCAACTTTTGTAAACAATTAAACTTGAAATGAGTACACGTGCAAGGCCAAAACCATATTCGTTGAAAAACTTCAGCTGTATTCGTTGCGGTTGTGTTTCAAATCTTACGTTAATACCAGATGATGTGTACTGTTTCATTCAGAAGTATAATAATTTCAAGTGACTTTGTGATACATGTAACAATGTTTCTCCAGACACCAAATCATCAACGGAAATAAACACGGATCTGTTCGCAAAGACGGTTAAAAGAAATACAAGGAATTGGTGATTAAAATTGATGGATTGGCTGATGCCAATAAAATTATAGAATCGGAGCTCCGAAATATCAGGTGTGCAGTAAAATCGAATGATGAAAAAATAAGCAACATTAATCACGCTGTCGATGAGATGCGTACGGGCAGTGGTGGAGTCAGTACATCATGGGCCGATATAGTAAGCAAAGAGGTTAAAAAAACATTGATGTGATTAACGTTGAAATCAAGAATGAAATTGTTGGATGATGTGCTAAAAGGTGTTTGGCTCAGTCACGACCTTTCAAATGATCAGAGAGATGAGTTGAAGAAATTGATCAACGATGCAAAAAAGCAGAAATCTGTAAAGTATTTTTCATTCAGAGTGAAGGGGTCTTCGGGAAGATGGAAAACAGTCAAGTTTCGGAGGGAACAAAAACTGAAAGAAAAAGTTTGATAGAGAGAGATGGCACTGGTGGTTGTGATGATTTTGATAGAGTAAACGCTGAAAGTTGTTTTAGATATGCATGTAATAAACGTTATTATGGTAAGTGTCAATATAAAATCTAAAATCATGATGTGTGTGGTGGAAAAGGGTGTAAGTACTTGAGTCTCCAGTGTCCAGACCGTGTAAAACTGATGATGTAAATGCTGTATTTGACGTATTCAGTGACGAATTAAAGAAAATTGTTGATAAGGTTGTTCCTCTTGTACCAGTGCTGCCTGAACGCTATCATGTTGCACCGTGGTTTAATGATGATTGCAAGGCTTCAAAACGGAAATGTAGAAAAAAAAAGGATTTTCAGAAATAGTCATAAATTACCAGATAAAAATGAATGGATATTGGCCCTTAAAGGAAAAGCTGAAATTTATTCAAACAAACTTAAAGTATATTGAAAGAAAGTTGTCAATGAAAACAGTAAAACTCCAAAAAGCTTGTGGAGAGTGGTTAATAAAATTTTTCTAAACAGTCACTGTGAAGGCGCTAAACGCGAATTCAATGATCTTAATGCTGGCCAGTTCATGACTTTTATTGAAAAAATTAAAATGATAAAACAGAGGACTGACACTGAAAATCAGTCTTGTCTAAACAGTGATAATCATGGATGTCAGCAGTTGTTTTCGACTTTTCTGGCGATGTCTGAGGCTGATGTCAGAAAAGAAGTGCTTCTTTCACTTACAAAGTTCTGTTATCTGAATATTTTACCAACGCGTTTCTTTAAAATCATTTTGAATTGCTCTGTCCATTTATAACCAGTCTGATAAATTTGAGCATGAGGGTAGGTTGTTTCCCTACACGTTGTAAACATGCAACTGTTGTGCCGTTGTTGAAAAAAGTGATGCAGATCTAATTATCGACCTATCAGTAATCTTTTCTTTATATCAAAACTCATTAAAAGAATGGTGTCGAGACAATTGCTTGCTCATTTGAATGATAATAATCTTATGCCTGCACATCAATCCGGTTTTAGACGATTTCACTCCACTGAAACTGCCCTGCTACCTATATGTTCTCAAGGGTTTATGCTCAAAACCTTTCCTTGTTGGCATTTTTGGGCATGGGTTCGACTTTCGACTGTGTCAATCATGAAATGTCACTGCTCAGGCTGCGTCAAAGTTTTGGAATATCTGGAAAGATAATAAATCGGCTCAGAAGCTACCTGATTGGCCAAACATAGCAGGTTTCGTTCAACGGGAGTACGTCCTACGTCAGTGTGGTTTTCTCTGGTGTGCCGCAGGGATCTGTTATACATATGATGAGTTGAAGATACTTGATTCTTAAGATTTTACAAGCCATGCATATGCAGACGACATTCAAATTATGTTATCAGGTAAACCGAAGTTATTCCAATACGAGATTAAGAGATTCATTGAATGTATATCTGAGGTTAATCTGTGGATGTCGAGAAATGAATTGAAGCTTAATCAGGGTAAAACAAAATTTCTTCCTATTGATACCTGGTAACAGTTGGCAGGCTTGGGTATAAATTCTGTTGTTATGAATGATCAAAAAATAGATTTCTGTGAAGCAGTGTCGAACCTAGTTTTTATAATTGATTCAAAACCAAAAATGAAATCTCATTTAAAAATGATCTCTATATCATGCCTGGCACAAATTAGAAGAATGAAACAAATTCGAAAATCACTTGATAAAGACGCAATGCAAAGACGCAATGCAGACTCTGGCGTTGGTCACTCACTGCAATGGTTTGTTTTATGGACTCCCGGCCAGATCTATCAAAATTCTGCAATCGATTCAAAACCGTACTGCCTGCTACACCGATCCTGAATAATTTGCATTGGTTGCCTATAAATAAAAGAGTTGTTCTTAAAATCTGTCACAGTTTTTAAATCACTAAACGGTCTGGCTCCAAAATATTTATCAGATAAACTGAAATTAAAAGCGCCGACCGCATCTGGTATGCGTCTGAGGTCTGACGATTCGAACATTCTTGTGGTCCCTCATAGACAGCTAAAGATTGGATCACGTGATTTTGCTGTGTCCTATAGAACGGCTTGCCGTCAGCCCTCAGAATGCCTGGAATGAACATTGCTGAATTTAAAAGACAATTAAAGACATAACTTTTTTATTATAGCTCAAACCTTTTCATTCTTGCCATTTTAATATGAATATTGGTTATAATTTGATAGCGTTTGTGAAAACTGCTATAACGAACGCTATATTAAGTTTTTTCTTTATAAAAATAATATATATATATATATATATTATTTATAAAAATATATGTATATATAAATGAAAGTGTGTATGTATAAATGCATGTGTGTAATGTGTATATGTTTATATATCAGCTATGGACACCAAAATCGCTAAACAGATTCTAATGAAAATTACCGAATAGGATATAAAAAGGATGGTTTTTGTAAAATTTTGTGAAAATTCATCCACAGATTTTTGCTACAGACCAAAAACTAAATATGTCGACTTTTCATAGAAAAAAAATTAACTAATGCTTTAAAATCACACTCTGTTCTTTACAGTTGCGCCAAGATGACGTCATAGCATTGTTTTTACATATGTTTATATATATATATATAAATGTTGGTAATAGACCATAATTTTTACAATATTCTATAAATTCTACCGAATGTTTGGCGTTAATATGTTTGTAGTTCGTTTTTTCGATTTTTCTCACTAAAGTAACTTTAAACTCCGAATTTATTACAACAATAAAAAGACGAATTTATTACAACAATAAAAAGACGTCTCACCTAATACTGAAAAACAACTGCAGATAACTCTGAGTTAAAGCGTAATCACGTAATATATGAATTTAATTGCCCCTTTGACGGCTGTGCACGTCAACATGACTCATATATCGGGATTACAACTACCTCACTGACTAGAAGGCTTACGATGCATAAACAGAGTGGTGCTATCAAATCTCATTTGGACTCAACACAATCAATCACAATTAGCCGTGAAATCCTCGACAGCAACACCAAAGTAATATACCAGAACAGCAACTACACGCATCTTAAAATTGCAGAAGCAGTCCTAATTGACATCAATCAACCAAAAATAAATATACAACAAAAAATGACAACCTCACTTCCAACCCGGCGCTTAACCAACAACGAAAACAAAGAAGTAATAAAAACTAGCATCGTAAATAGTGACAAAGAAGAATATGATGCTATCGATGAAGAAAAGGAGACCAAAAAAGATGACCAGCCAATTAAGAAACCTGACACCTAATTCGCATCAAAGTTCAATTTTACAACACCAAAGTTAATTTTTACAACGTCAAAGTTAATCTTGACAAAGTCAATATTTCCCTATATATACAGCAAGGAGCACTGCCGATGATTCATTCGGAATCGAAATATGGCCTTATTTGCAGCATGAATTCGAAAAATAAGTTTATTTTGAATTTTAATAAACTAAACGTTCACCAAAAAACTTTAGTGAGAAAAATCGAAAAAACGAACTACAAACATATTAACGCCAAACATTCGGTAGAATTTATAGAATATTGTAAACATATATATAAATATATAAACATATAAATATATATATATATATGTATATATATATATATGTGTGTGTGTGTGTGTGTGTGCGGATTTTTTAAGTAAAAAATATTAACTTTCTACAGATTTTACATTTTATTCCCTTTGCACTCAAAAAGGATCGTTTTGGAACGTAGGTAGGAAACATTTTGATAAATTTCATGGCTGACAAACAGGTTACTTTAAAATATTGAACATATATACAGTAGGGAGCATGGACAAGCTTGTAACCCGCTCCGCTTTCGGAAAGGGTCGGTTTTGAAGGAAAGATTGAAATTTTTTCATAGATACTAAAGCTGAAAACTGAAATTTTGTATATAAAGGTTTTTAGGTACAGCGGAAAACTTGGGCATGCTTTTAACTTGCCCGCCCTTGGAAAGGGTCAGTGTTAAAGGGGAGGGTGAAAATTATTTAAAATTTAATGATAAAAAATAGATTGGTTTGAAATTTTGTAAATAAAGGTTTTTGAAAACCTTAACCTATGAAAAGGTTGATTTTCATTAAAAGAAAGTTTAAATTTAAAAAAAAATTAAATTTGGAAAACTACCGATCTAAATGGCTTTACATTTTGTGATTGACAAATATTAAATGCCATAAAAGTTACTAACATTATATAAAGATCACAATTAGCAGTTTGATGTTAAGTAGGGTAAAATTGCATGGTAAAATACTTGCAAAAAATGCATAGAAGTTTATTTTAAAGCTTGCATGTTACGTGTTAAGAAACGTGCAATAAATGTATGGTTTATTTTAATGTCTACTTGTTAAATCACATGCTAAAATACATGCAAATAATTGTATGAAGGTTTATTTTAATGCCTACCGCACTTAACCAGGCAAACATGTGAGTTTGCTTAAATGCCCATAATGTAAAGACTTTCTCTTTAAAAGCACACCTAAACTATGATGTTATCCCTATAAAATTATTAAATAATTTACGAAAGTTAAAAAGAAGTTTTAATTTATTAATTTTTTTCAACATTTTTCAGTATCTTACGTTAAAACCTTAATAATATCAACATTTTAATATAATTAAGTCTTAATAACAATTCCCTTTTATACATACTGTTACAGACGGGAGATCGAGATAAGAACTAATAGTTAGAAATTGCATAAACACATTTACAAGCAGATCGGTAGCTATATAAACAACGCCGAAGCAGGATTCGAGAGCAGAGAAGAGACACAAAAAGACACACACAGACAGACAGAGAGAGGAGAACAGGTAAGAAGAAGACGGAGTACAGTTGACGTAAAAATGATTAATGTGATTTTACGTAGTTATTTGGATTAATTTATTGTTTCTATTACTGCTGGTATTAAATAAACGTTCAACTTAGTTTGCGTTCAAAGTAGTTGTGTTCATCTATCGGAAATCTTGAACCTACGGATAAACGACTATCGTTGGAAGCTACAATCCGGTGTTGGAGATATAGCGAGTACTGAAGCAATAACATCGGTGTTGGTAGTTACGAGGTCGAGGAGGTTACAGCACTGGTGTTAGAAGTGGGATCTTCAGGAGATTACACACTGATGACAGAAGTAAGATTTTTATAGCGGGAAACTCACTTCAGTAAAGAATACCGAGACTAGAGAACTCAATGTAATTAGCTTGAAAAGAGAAGCTTAATTATTGACGATTAGTTGTATTCCGTGACTCACCTGTTGATTAGTTTTTGTGCTGTATTCTAACGATTTTAACGATTGAATAAATGAGTGATTGATTACAGCAATACACACAAGTGATTGCCAGCACTGTTTTCTTTCTGATAAAGTTCATCTGAAATAAGTCTGTTCAGGAGTCAAGAATCCACGTAGAGAGAAATAACCATACCCTACAAGTTCAAGGGGTCGGTTATAACAATATTTACACATTAACCATACCATCTTTTTCACTAATCTTTAATTTCTATTGCATTGAGGTATTAAGTTTTGCAGAAAACATTAATATCAGTACCTAAAGAGTAAACGTTAATGAATATAAATTTTCGAAAATTTTAATAAATTTGGTAAAGAATTTTAAAGGATGGCAATGTTAATCAATTGAACATTTGCAAGAACGCTACTAACCACCTCATCCTCTTTAGACAGGTACAGCAAAACATTTCCAAGCTTAGTTGGTTTTGTTATTAAATGATGCATCAAATAGGTACCTTGTATTCTGGCTTCATTCAGTAAATGATTTGGTTCTTTTCTTTAATTTTAGAAACACAAATGAAAATATATGAATTTTTATAACGGAGATATGTAAAATTAGACCATAAATAATAATTGAAAATGTGAGAATGCTCAGTAAAACAATTAAACAATATTTAATCAGTCTCCATCACAAATAAGAATCCGAGCAATCATAAAAATCTTACATTTGAAAAATGGAAAAATTCATGTAAAAAAATAATAATCGTGAAAACTAAATTTCATAAAACCATGGATAATTTTTTAATATATTATATGAAAATGAAATGAATCAGAAAACGCACATAATTGAATTCCATCTCATAACCTTGATTTCAATAAACTATTTCTACTTGATCATTATGATTTCAATAAATTTCCTTACCCTCATCGCATGATTTTAATAAACTATTTCCACCCGATCATTATGATTTCAATGAACTTACTCTGGCTCATCACTTGAATTCAATAAACTTCTACCTCATTGCATGATTTAAATAAACTTCCTCCACCTTATCACTACATTCTGTTAAAAAAATTTGCTTGAAACTCACATACGAAACTGTCAAAAGAACAAGCATAAATAAATAAATGCATATGTATTTATGTAATTAAATTAATAACAAAAAATACTTTTGAGAAGCATTCAAATTTCTCACAGCTATTATGTACATATGAAATCGTTCTTCTGGCTTAAAACCTGGTTGACAGTTCATGTTTTTCAACTTCTCTTGAAGACTTGTTTCTACGTTGAATAAAAAATAAACATATAAATAAATGCTTTGAAATGCTATTTCTGCTACGATATATATAAGTCATCTTAACATTTTACAATGATACAAGGTTGGCATTGTTCAAAGGTGAGTGAGCATTACCTTCGTAATCAGAATCAGTGACCCTGAACTATTGAAAATAAAAAATTAGAAGTGAACAAGTTTATAAATAAAATCCGTGTCAGCCACAAAGATGTCATTCCTAGCTCAAAAAAAAAGTCAAAAATTGGTAAATGTGAAATTGAAAGAGAAGAAAAAAGGGGACAAGAAAAAACATGATATAAACAAATCCATGATGATTACTAAATCACCAAACAAAATGGAAAATGATTTAGAAAAATAAGATCAGAAATTTTTTGAACCAAATAAATTGACAAAAGTTAAAAATGAAAATAAATAAAGGACAAAAATGACCTCAAAAGCGATAGCTCAGGTTTTAAAAATATTATTTGTTATCTTGATTGTTTGTTATCTTTGCTATATTTGTATTCTTTTGATTTTAAAAGTCTACCGTAGTGGCTGTATAAGGTCCTGCGGAAAAAAGTTTAGCAGCGAGGTTAGAAAGAGAGGTTTCCAGTGAGTTTTGATGCGATGTTTAAATTGTGATTTATGTAGTTACTTGACTTAGTTTAATGTTTCTATTACTATTGGCATTCAAATAAACGTTCAACAAAGGTTGCGTTTGAAGCAGTTGTTTTCATTTATCAGAAATCTTGAACCTATAGAATAACGAACACTTGACGATCGTTGGAAGTTACAACACTGGTGATGGAAATATAGAGATCCTTGAAGTTACAACATTGGTGTGCTTATAGCAACGAGCGTTCAAGGGTTACAACAATTACTTCAAGCTCTTACCAAGTCGAGTGAAAAATGCAAATTTCATCTAAATAGAAAACGTCTCACCGTTGTCCAAATAGGTTTGACATTATTCTGTTAAATGTATTTTAGGCATTTGCTAGCTGAAAAGCCATGAAATTTAAAATGAAGTTGCCAAAAGGTGTGAGAGATGCTTGATTTATCTGTCCATATGGTAATGGCTCGACATGCGCTATTTTGGACAGATGCTCCTTCAATATATTAATATGAAATTATGAAACTTTCGAGTTTTCATCTATTGGTATTTGCCAATATGCTTGTGAAAAATCTAAGGTAGTAAAAAATCTGGAACTTCAGCTTTCCAATTAAATTTTCAATATTAGGCATTGGGTAAGGAAAGGATCCTCTACAGTTATATTGTTAAGTTGTCAACAGTCGTTTTTGTGTTTGATAACGTTTGTTTTTCCTGGTGCATCAGAAAACATTTTTTTTGTTTATTAATTAAGTTTTTTGTTTTTTTGTTGTGAATATGGCAAGTTTGTTAGATTTATATAATGATGTGATTTCTTTTGTGTTATTTCTGTTGTGGGAATTTTATCTAAGTCACCTGTAGGTTAGAATAACAGTCCTGGGCATGACATAAAACTGCATCCACGCTGCCTTGCGTGCTTTTGAGCAAAAAGCTAGGACCACCGCTTATAACTGGCGGTTGTCGTCAGGATGGGTGTCCGGATGTAAAAACTTTTCCCTAATTATTCCTATTCCATCACAAAGAAAAACAACGGCCCATAGCCCCCAGCAGGCCTTAAGTGATGAAGGGGTGCCAAGAATCTCTGGGAAGTATGCAATAGCGGAGGGATGTTGCAGAAAAATTCAGAACGGCCCCTCTATGGTACTTAGACTTGGAACGCTCAATTTTTGATCACTGACTGGCCGCAGCATGGAAATCGCAGAAATGCTCGAGCGTAGAAGGATTGACATTTGCTGCCTTCAGGAAACCCGATGGAAATCGAATGGTGTTTGTCATGTCAACTTAGACAAAGAAAAATATAAACTATTCTGGAATGGTCAAAAGACGGCCAAAAATAGTGTTGGAATTTTTGTCAGAGAACCGCTAGCCCAAGAAGTACTGAATATTAAAAGGATTAATTCACGTCTCATGTGGATCAAGCTTTGCCTAGAAAAGCAAACAATGATTATTTTTTCTGCATACCCACCACAGAGATAAAAAATTACTTCTTGGCTGCGTTCTCTGACACCATCTCAACAATACCAAAATCTGAAACAATCCTGATTGGAGGCGATTTCAATGGCCACGTTGGAAAGAAAACAGATGGTTTTGGCAGCGTACATGGCGGTTTTGGCTAAGGAGAACGGAATGAAGATGGCAACCGCATCTTTGAGTTTGCTAAAAGTCACAAGTTTTGTTTACTGAACACATATTTTAGAAAGAGGTTGGAACATCTCATAACATACAAAAGTGACCATCAGCCACGCAAATTGATTTGTTCGCTGTCAAGCAACAACACCGAAGGCTATTCAAAAATGTCAAAGTTATACCTGTCGAATCATGTGTCGCCCAACATAGCCTCCTTGTGGCAGACCTGGTTGTCGAGCTGTCAAAACATAAGTCTAAACAAATGCTGAGAAGCAATATTCATCGAGAAAAATTTCAACAGATTGTCACAACAAAGTTAGACCACCAATCGCAAGCCGGTACAGATTGGAGTACATACAAAACCGTTTTGATAAACGCTGCAACTACAGTTTGTGGGAAAACTGGTACAAAATGTCAGCATGAACGGGACACTTGGTGGTGGAATGACAGTGTACAAAATGCAATAGCTGAAAAAAAAGCTGCATACAAGCAATGGCAAAAATCAAAGTCTGTAAATAACCATAAAATTTTCCATGAGAAGAACAACCATGTAAGACGTCAAGTAGGTATGGCTCGGACAGATCAGTGTAGAGAGTAGCTCACTAAAAGCAAAGGTGAACAAATGAAATCTCTGTATCATAAAGCAAAACAAGCAAAGCGTATGAAAAAAGACATAGCTGGTGCCTCATGTATCAAAAACGACAAAAATGAGATGGTTCTTGAACAAGATGAGATCAAGCTAGAGTGGAGAAAATACTTCAACCGTCTGTTAAACGAAACAATTCCCATCAATGTCAACTTTGACGCTCCACCCATCAAAGATCAGATTCTAGACATCACTGTAGAGGAGCTTACAGAAGCTCTGAAAGCTATGAAGGATGGAAAGGCAGCAGGGCTCTCTGGACTCACAAATGACATTATCAAAGCATCTGGTACTGCAGGTATCCAAACGTTACTACAACTTTGCCGTGATGTGTGGAGAAATAGCTCAATGCCGCCTAAATGGAACTATAGCATGACAGTCCCGCTATACAAAGGCAAAGGTGATCCATTGAACTCTTCATCATATTGAGGTATACGTCTGTTAGAACACTCCCTGAAAATTGTCGAGAAAATCATTGAGAAAAGATTAATGTCGTGCATCACAATCGGAAATTATCAATTTGGTTTCCTAGCGGAGAAATCAACAATTGATGCAATTCACATCCTTCGGCAACTGCAAGAGAATTACCTTGCAAAGCATCAACAACTATCACACATTTTTGTAGACCTTGAAAAAGCATTTGATCGAGTTACCCATGAAGCAATCAGGTAGAGTCTAGGTCGACAACTCATTCCAGAATATCTTGTTCGACTTGTGTTGGAAATGTATACGAATACTAAGACTCTTGTCAACACAACGGTTGGAAATACAGATGCATTTGACATCGGCGTTGGAGTTCACCAAGGCTTAATTCTTAGTCCACATTTATTTATAACTGTGATGGAAGAAATCACAAAACCGGTATGCACAGATGTCACGTCTGAGCAGAATGCAGCACAGATGTTTGAAGATTGGAACACCAGACTCGCCGATCATGAATTCAAAGTCAACATCAGCAAAACCAAAGCAATGAACACTGGTGAACCCATCCAATCCACAGCTACTGGACGATGGCCCTGTTCAGTTTGTAAATCTGCTGTAGGTAACAATTCAATCAAGTGTCAGTAGTATAACCAGTGGTGTCACAAACGTTGTTCAAAAATAATTGATACTTTATCAAAAGTGTCCAATTTTGTTTGTCCTGCTTGCATCAATCCACAACAACAAATTCGAAATAGCACTGTTTTTGAAGCCATTAAAATAGAGAAAGTCACATCGTTTCAATATCTAGGGGATGTTCTGGATTGTACTGGAACAGCTGAAGCATACGTGCAGCCTGGAATAAATGGCATCTCCTTGCCTCTATAATGATGTGGCGTGACATCCCACTACCATTACGATCAAGACTATAAATCTGTGATACATCCTGTGTTGTTATATGGTGCAGAAACATACCAATGACAACCAAACTGGAACAACAACTTCAACTAACTGACATGAAAATGTTCCGATGGATGCAACGAATTAGTCTGAAGGACCACATCAAATCTACCGAAATCCTGCGTCATGCTGGTTTAGATGATATAAAGGACGAATGCCAGCAACATCGTCTACGGTGGTTTGGTCATGTCAAACAAAGTGGAAACAGTGCCATAACTTCTCTTGCAGATGTTGGAGTACCTGGCACACGTCCCAAAGGCCGTCCAAAGAAGTCCTGGTCACAAACAATCGAGCAAGACATGAAAGCTCTAAATTTAAATGAAATGAATACAACTAATCGCTTAATTTGGCACAAAAAATTGATGGCAAAGAAATCAACATCCTACCTTGGGAGAACTGGGTCTCTGGACGCTAAACGATGATTGTATATAATATATGTATAATATACCCAATATATAGTTTCCTTTTTTATTCAACATGTGATGGGTAGAATGTATAGTTCCTGTTTTTTAACTTAATGTGTAATGCTCCCAACTTATAGCTGTTTTTTGGTGTGGTGAGAATGTATTGCACCCAACTTTTAGATTTAGCCATCTTTTATTTATTTTTATATAAAATTTTTAAATATATATAGTATACACAAATTATAATATTTATAATTTATAATATAACTATTTCAATATTAATTTAATATAACATTCTAACCAATTTCGTGATTTAATAAATCAAAAGGATCACACAACATCCGATTCACAATGTCCAAACAAGCCTGTTCAATGTTCAAGCTCTTTATCCTTTTTAATAATAAAAATTGACAGACCAAGAAAAAGAAAAGGCAATACCAACGCAAACACATATTATAATTATATAATTGTAGATAATTTTATTAATTTATATTATAATATAATTGTTGATTATAATTTATAAATTAATAATTTATTTTATATTTTAATAAATTTTAATCAATTGATATGATGGTTGATTGACTATTGAATTATCATTAATTATTTTTAATAAAAATTGACACTTAATTTAAAAATACAAAATGTATATCTTTTATTTATATCATAGTAACTTAACAAATCGAAAATTTATTAATTTTAACACTTCCTGGTCAATAAAT